TGTCTACCGTCACTGGTTCCGTCGTTTGAGGAATTATCTTCAAACTTCAATCAACGCTGATTGTTTCCCGCCTTTTTTGTTTACTTCCTTAGACATCCACCGGAGCACTGTACTATCCATTAATTGTGATATTGTTGAATATATTGTTGAATGGCACTATCGAAACAATATTGATTTATAATAGAATTCACGTATTGTGTCGCCAGTGAAATCTTTTTTTTTGTTTTTGTTATTGTTTTTTGACTTTTATTCTATTACATCGCTATTTTTTCGCTTAAGCCAAGTTTTCGGTTTTTATGTATGTACTAAATGTATGCAGCAAATTTTGACATTTGATATCACAAAATATTATCATTATCATTAGCAGGACAAAATATAAGCAATATGAAATTAGCGATTCACTTGGATTTGAATCCTAGAGAATTAATCCATTTGGAATAACGTTCTCGGGAAGTTTATTCTGATATGTACCGCTCTTGGTGAAATCAAATGTGCCAAGTCACTTGAACACCTTCCGGGAAAGTACTTATGAAAGAGAGACAAATCTCCAACCTTTCTTCGATGTTCTAGACTATAGAGGTTGCAAGTTTGATGTTCGCGTCTTCCCCCAAAAAATTAGCTCTGTTACGCCAGCAATGCAAAGTACAGAAATCGCATTTAGAAAACGCCAAAATTAGGTCATTTTTAGGTGCTTTTTCGGTACCGAAGTCAAAAATTAGGTGCTTTGTAAATTACACCGCAACTCAAAAGTTGCGTTGCTAGCAGTATGTGATGCTAGCAACGCAATGAAAATAATAATAAAATGATGAATGTTAAGGTGCTAATTAAGTGCTAAACGGTGAGGATCGTAAAATTTTCTAATTAATAAACAAAAGCTTCCAATTTCGCGAAACAACAGATCTAAAAATCAGGTCTCTCGAAAACGAGGACGAATGCTCTATCAGGTATAAATTCAGCGTGGTAATAAAGTGCCAATTAGGTGCTTGCAAGAAATTAAGATGAAAACGACCGCGAATAAGTGAAAAAAAAATTCGAGATACCTGATTTGAGAAAACAAATTAACAATATGCAATAAAGTCTTGAGATACTCGTAAACTAATACATAGACAATCAAAATAAAGTGCTAATTAAGTGCTCACAAGATGAATAATAGTAAACATAGTAAGTAAGTA